AACCAAATATTTATCGCTGTGTCTTATTAAAATCATTAAAATTGTCCCTATTTAAAATTCACCCTAGGTCAGACCCGCTTGCTGAAAAAGCCATGTCTTGAGGGCGCGGCGGAAAGTTAGGAGATCCGGAATCGTCCGGATCTCGGGGGGTAGTTCGTTCCAGAGGGTGGGGGCACCCACAGAGAAGGCCCTCCCCCTGTTGGCATTTTGAATAATGGGCCCCTTTTCTCATGAGTAGTACTAGAAAGAGAGGGAGATAAATGAACACACAAAATATTTCTCCTATTTAGAAAATTCTTAACATGTTAGGGACAATAATTGTTAATTTATTGGTTAATAATTATTTTGTGTTTTATTTTGGTTGAGTTTAACAAAGGCAGAATGCAGCTCTGGATTTTGGACATTTCTTCCCCCACAGGCAAAAAGAATTATAATACAATTATCTTCCACCAAAACAAGAGATCCATATTTTGAAGCATATATTAAAGCATGCTTGGACATGTTTTCATAGTACTAAGGGCAGGATACAGTATCCAGTTTTAACTATAGGATAAGCATGTCCAAAATGTTCAAATTCAGACAAGTAGTTTCAACTGTACTAGAAGTGGCTCAGACTTGAAACAGGCCTGCTTGGAGATGTTGTTAGCCAGAAATACTTTTATCGTATAGTATTTTAGCAAATACTTCTACAAAGATCAAAACAGCTATTTTCAGGTGAAAATGGGCCATTGAAACTTGAATGAAACTGAAAAAAAATTGCACAGTTTTATTATGAACTTACTGCTACTCTACTGTATTCAGGATTCTACGATTTTCATATATTTGATAATTTTAACATTTTTCTTCTCAAATCTGCCTATAGTTTGTAGTAATTTGGTGGGGTTTTTTTTTACAAGTCTATATTCAAATGCTTGTGCTTTTCTTTATAGTGCAAGTGGCGGCCTCGATAATGAAACACATTCCCTAAACAATACTTTACTGGAATACGTGGATCTTACCAGACAACTGCTGGAAGCAGAAAATGAAAAGGACTCTGACACACTGAAAGATATCCGTTGCCATTTTAGTGCCTTAGTGGCAAATATTATTCAGAACGTTCCAGGTATTTGCAACATTTCTCCCTGCCCCCCAATTTTTTGGTTTATATTTTGAGTTCAACATATCTCATGTGGGAATGTGTTATTTCTTGTAACTTGAAAACTGCTGGTGAATTACGGGTCTGAATTAAAACCTCTTAATTTCAGTCATCTCTCTCTTCCCTAAGAAGGGGGTACCTTGCTTAGCAGTAGTAACTGTGAGAGGGATCTCGGAGTCCTAGTGGACAATCACTTAAATAGGAGCCAGCCATGTGCTGCAGCTTCCAAAAAAGCCAACACAGTGCTGAGCTGCATTAACAGAGGGATAGAATCAAGATCTCGTGAAGTGTTAATACCACTTTACAATGCCTTGGTAAGGCCACACTTGGAATACTGCATCCAGTTTTGGTCACCACGATGTAAAAAAGATGTTGAGACTCTAGAAAGAGTACAGAGAAGAGCAACAGAGATGATCAGGGGACTGGAGGCTAAAACATATAAGGAACGGTTGCTGGAATTGGGTATGTCTAGTTTAACAAAGAGAAGGACCAGGGGGGACATGATAGCAGTGTTCCAGTACCTCAGGGGCTGCCCCAAAGAAGAGGGAGTCAAGCTATTCTCCAAAGCACCTGAAGGCAGGACAAGAAGCAATGGATGGAAACTAATCAAGGAGAGAAGCAACCTAGAACTAAGGAGAAACTTCCTGACAGTTAGAACCATTAACCAGTGGAACAACCTGCCTCCAGAAGCGGTGAATGCTCCAACACTGGAAGTTTTTAAGAAGAGACTGGACAGCCATTTGTCCGAAATGGTATAGGGTTTCCTGTCTGAGCAGGGGCCTGGACTAGATGATCTCCAAAGTCCAGTCCAACTTGATGATGATGATGATGATGGAGGAGGAGGCAATGGCAAACCAATTCTGAAAAATTTCTTGCCAAGAAAACTGCAGGGACTTGTCCACACACACACATGTGCACATAACATGTGTGCACATATCCAAATCCAGTTTAACATTTTTATAGACTGAGCCGCTAATAAGTTGTCATTCCATGAGTTCTGTAATTTATATCAACAAATCTGTGTATCAGTGAGATATTCCACAAACAGGGTCTCCAGTCTGAAATTGACAAGATCCCATGCTTGGTGGAGGGATTCCCCCCCCCACCACCAGTTTTTTTTTTAGGGGATGGAGTCCTCTTCTCAGTTGTGCTAATAGATCTTGCATACTTGACCTGTTGATCTGGATGCTCAGTTTTAATGTCTTGCACCAACATTGCCCTTTCATCTACGAGGGTTACAAAGGTTGATCTGATTACAGATCAAGGTAATATTACACGGGAAGGGGGGGAGATACGACTTTTATTGCACTTGCATGGACTTTGCTGAAGAAAATCTCAACATTTGTCTTGTTCATTTTTAAACAATAAGTAGGAATATTGTCTCTTTTGGTATTTTAATTTCATTTCATTGTTACAAAATGTTTCCTCTGTTATTTTTCCACTGTTGTGCAGTGCATCAGAGAAGGAGCGTTTTTCCACAGCAGAGCCTCCGTCACAGTCTGTTTATGTTGTTTAGTCACTGGGCGGGACCTTTCAGCATCATGTTTACGCCTTTGGACAGATACAGTGATAGAAACATGCAGATAAATAGGCATCAGTACTGTGCATTAAAGGTAATAAGCTATCACATGCTTAGCCTTTCTTGTAGAATTTTGTTATATCCTTACCTGTGATTATACAAGTTGTCTGCAATGATCCTAACTATTCTGCAGTGGTTGCCAAATAATTGGACAGTAATTGCACAAAACTAGAATCCTTTACTGCTCCAGATAATTATGAACCTTAATAAATAGTATAAATGCATGCAACAAAAGGATGTTCAGTTTTCTTCGTTCTTGGGGAATGAAATAAGAAATACTTACAAATATATTTTTGTATAAATATGATATATAAATATAATGTACGAGGGCAATTCGGAAATAAGCCTCCGTTTGGTTATCAGTGACAGACACTCGCAGATACAGAATGTTTATTACACACATTAGAAAACTACAACATTACATTACTTTTTGACATAATCGCCATTCAAATTGAGGCACTTGTCATAACATCTTACAAGTTTCAAATGCCTTAGTAGTAGTCGCTCGGCGCTGAATTGGCTATACGTGTGTGTGTGTGTGATCAAAACCATCCCAACAGAAATGCTTCAAAAGTTCTTGAATGCGTTTAGCAGTGTGCAGGCGAGCATTATTGTGAACCAACACCACACCGGAAGTCAGCCTGCCCCGACGCTTGTTATGGATGGCTCGTCTGAGTTTTTGGGACATTTCACAGTAGACCTCTGAACTGATGGTTGAACCATGCTCCATGAACTTTATTAGCAGTACCCCTTTGGCATCTTCACATTTGGCGGGATTTTCTACAGCGCCAGTTCCGGTGTGGTGTTGGTTCACAATAATGCTCGCCCGCACACCGATAGACGCACCCAAGAACTGTTGAAGCAGTTCCGTTGGGATGGTTTTGATCCCCCCCCTTATAGCCCAGATTCGGCGCCGAGCAACTACTACTAAGGAATTTCAAATCTTGTAAGAAGTTATGACAAGTGCCTCAGTTTGAATGGCGATTATGTCAAAAAGTAATGTAACGTTGCAGTTTTCTAATGTGTATAATAAAAGTTCTGTATCTGCGAGTGTGTGTCATTGATAACAAACGGAGGTTTATTTCCGAATTGCCCTCGTATAACTATGTTTTTATAAATATGATATAAATATATATAATATATATTTAATAGACTTAAAAAAAAAATTAAATAGAAAATCAGTCGAGTTTATCTGATGTTTTCATCCATTTTTTAAGGCAATGTCTGCAGTGCTTTGTTGCGGTCCAGTTGCGGATAATGTAGGACTTTCACCGGATGGCTATCTATACAAATGGCTAGATAATATTTTGGATTCTCAGGATAAGAAGGTATTGTGTACAACATTGATAACTTAAAATCTCTGTTTGAAGTTAGATAATCAGGGGGTTAAATATAGAGAAACTGAGAGAAAGATAGCTCCCTATACACTAAAAAATAATTAAAATTAGGACATCTAATCCTAATAGAATGAGAGATCTGTCTCTTTGGTTTGGATTTTTTTTTAAAAAAATATAATTATTGAGTTCAGGAAAGACATAAATTATTTAGCCTATTTCAAGGGTAGATCAGCTTTTTTGACCTACAAGCTGCTCTTCTCCTCTGCCAGGAGGTAAGAAGTAAACATTGGTGACCTGATGTTCAGAGAGGATAAAACCCACATTTCGATATTTATTTATTAATTTTTTCAGCCAACCATCTTGCCACAAGGCGACTGGACGGCTTACAAGGTTAAAAGCAATAACTGTACAAATAATATAATTCAAATAATAATATTGCTGTATTATATTCCTTTTAGCCACCCTCTCTTCTCAAATTTGGAAGACTGAGGGAATTTGGAATTGTAATCTATTTTGCTTCTCAGTTTCCAGAACAGGAAAAAAATGGCTAACTTTGGAATATTTGGGTCTCTTAAAATGTTCAGTCTCCCTTCCCATTAAAAAAAAGTTCAAAATTTTGCTTCTGGCTTCTTGGGAAACTCTAGAGCAGGGGTCCTCAACCTTGGCAACTTTAAGACTTGTGGACTTGAGGAATTCTGGGAGTTGAAGTCCACAAGTCTTAAAGTTGCCACGGTTGAGGACTCCTGCACTAGAGGCTGCAAATGCATGTGGCCCATAGGTTCCTTCCCCTATTTAACAGTAGCTTAATTGAGGGAATTATATAGATTAAGCCTTTTCTCTTTATGTATACTTAAGATACTAGAAACAAAGAATATACATCCATAGCAACAGGATAGAACTTGAATTTTATCTTGTATTTCTTTAGGTGCATCAGCTTGGCTGTGAAGCAGTTATGTTGCTGTTGGAGCTCAACCCTGACCAGAGTAACCTCATGTATTGGGCTGTAGACCGTTGTTATACAGGCTCTAAGCGTGTAGCAGCCGGATGTTTTAAAGCCATAGCCAGCGTATTCCAAAACAGGTATTCTTCTTCTTCTCCTTCTTGTGCCATATCCGTTATTGGACGTTGGCGATCCTGTTTTTATCAGCAGCCGCACGAAAAAGTGCTGCTGAGTTTTGTCCAAACCAGTCCCTTAGATTTTGAAGCCACGATGTTCTTCTTCTGCCTGGACCTCATTTGCCTTCAATCTTTCCCTGGAGGATTAAATGGAGTATGCTGTATTTTTCTGGGTGTCGCATCACATGTCCAAAATATTTTAATTTTTGTTTTTAATTGTTTTGATGATTTCCCTTGGCTTTCCCAGGCGGTTTATCACCTCCTCATTTCTGATCTTGTCAACCCAGCTTATACGTAACAGCCGTCTGTAAATCCACATTTCAAATGCTTCTTGTCTCTTCAGGTGGCCTTCTGTCAGAGACCAACTCTCCACTCCATAGAGCAGGATAGGAAAAATATAGCATCTAACAAGCCTGATTTTCAGTCTTAGGCTTATGTCATGACTGCAGAAGACCTTTTTCATTTTGAAGAATGCTGTTCGGGCTTTTTCTATCCTTGTCTTTACTTCAGCGGTCATGTCCCAGCTTTCATGTAAATTAGAACCAAGATGCGTGATCCTTTCAACTTTTCCTAGTGGTATTCCTTCTGAATTTATTGGTGGTGAATTGTTTGCTGACGACCATGATCTTGGTTTTTGAGGTGTTAAGTTTCAAGCCGTATTTTTCAGATAAAAACAGGTATTAGAGAAAGAATTTAGAATGACTAACAGCTGGTCATTTTACTACTGCTCGGAGTTACGACTGCCTCAGAAAAGGTTCTCTTTTTTTAGCCCATAAAGCACTTTTGGCCATTGTAAAATGTCACAGCACACAATTCTCTCTCTTCCCCCCCCCATGATCACATGACTGCAGTTCAGGCACTTGGCAACCTGGCTTGCATTTACAACCAGTTGAAGCATCCCATGGGCACATTATTCAGGAGAACGGGTTTGCTTAATGACAATGCCATTTGCTTAACAACCACTGGATTCACTTAACAGCCTCAGGGATTAACGTAACAATCGCCACAAAAAAAAAATGTCAGAAAAATGGGTCTGGACATGTAGGTGCTTAATCAGATCTCCAGTCCTGATTGTGCTCATAAGTCAAGGACCAGCTATAATAGAATCAATTGAAATTGCAATTGTAAGTGGTGGGGGAACAATGGCTCTCTAAATTTTACAATCAATTTTAAAAAGCACAGCTAAAGGTGAGGAGAGTCGCAATTCAAAATGTGGGTAACTTCAGATTCTCCCCAGCAATCTATATGCATAATTGGGTTACTATCAGGATAAGCGTGACATAAACCAGCACCATCTGATCTGCTGTGGGAGAGGTGAGGATTAAATTAACTTACTCAGCTGTTTTGTGTGGATATTGTAAGAATACAAAAGAAGGGGTAATTCTATAGCTCTGTCTAATCAGTCCTCTGAGGAACAGTTCAAAATTCTGCTGTGAGTTGCACAATTCATTGGCGGAATCTTGACAGCCACAGAATAAACCTCCTTTGTGCTGAATTCTTGTTGTGTGCTATTGTATCCTCTGCCCACTGTCTAATCCAGGGATGACCCGTGGACTTTTAACTCTCAGAATTCCAGGGCCAGCCATGCTGGCTCAGGAATTCTGGGAGTTGAAGTCCACAACTCATAAAAGGGGCCATAGTTCCCCACTTCCGGTCTAATCAGTGGGGAAGAGTAGTCCTGTTAGTCTCCTGATACAAGGATTCATGAGATATCCTGGAAAAAACTGGGGGACTATTGTTCATTCCCTCATATTTTAGCTTGAACCTAATTAATGTGATTGTGTAGTGTCAAAAATCACTGGTAAGAAAATAATGCTTTGAGTATGACTATTATATCTGTGATGCAAAAATCCAGGTAACCCCTACATTGAAGCAAAGAGAATTTTCGGAATCTTTTTGCTACCATTGAATCATGAGCTAGAATTTGTAGCCCTAGATTGGTTTAGTAATTAACTAAATGAAATGCATCGTTTGAACAGAGCTAATCAGATTATTGGAAATAGAGGAATTTTCTAAGTAGCCTTATACGGCAGAGGTCACCAAACTTTCTCGGTTGGCAGACTGGAAGAAAAGGGAAGGGGAAGCATTTTACTTGCGCATGTGCCCGCGAGCACGCACGCGATGCAAACAGGGCGGGGCTAGCCCCCGCATGTACTCACTAGTCCTGCCCCATTCTTGCACGGCGCAGCGCCCCGTTTTTGTGCCCCTTGGTGTGGTGGCGGCCTGTTTTCACATCCCGCAGTGCAGCAGTGGCCCGTTTCCTCACCCCGAGGTGCGGCAGCATCCCGTTTTCGTGCCCTGAGGCCAGGGCGCTAGCGCGAGTGGGTGTGTGTGCGCGCACTGGCCAGTCCCGCAGCCCGGTGGCCAGCAAGCGACAGCCCACTACTTCCCACAGGTTGGGGAACCCTGTTATACGATATATAGGTTCATGTTGTACATTTTTAAAGTATTTAATTTATTCTGTTTTAAGCCACTTAGTTAATACTACTTTCTTTTCTTCATAGGGATTACCAGTGTGATACGGTTACTCTTCTCAATCTTATATTATTTAAAGCAGCTGATTCTTCCAGAGCTATCTATGAAGTCGCTATGCAGCTCTTGCAAGTTAGTATGAAATGTTTTTATCGGTACCTAAAATATTTTTGTCTGAAGCTTTTAAATTTGAATACCGTCTTAAAAGCTTTCAGATAAAAATCAATATTTAACATGTTGCTACTGTAGATCCCTGCAATTAATTTCAGGAAAGTTTCCACCGATTGGCCCAGTGGGAATAGCTTTTTTTTCTTTCTCCGTAGCCTTTAGGGTATTTTATTTGGGCTGTGTGTAAGGGGTAAAATATAATGGGCAGCCTTTCAGAAACTTAAACATTGAACACTCACAGAAATAAACATTTTCCTTTTGGTGGGAGAGGAGATAATCAAGAGACAAAACAGATGTATCTGCAAGAAAAAAACATGTTTTTTTAAAAAAATTCTTCTCCGGAGCTCATCCTAAATCAAAAGAAAAAAAAAAAGTCTCAATGATTCCCTCTCGTTCGCCGCCACGTCCCTTGCAACCTTCAGGGTGGTCAAATAGGGGAAGTGTCTTTCTTAGTGTTTCTCAATCCCAACTGGTTAGTTGGAGGATTCTAGAAGTTGAAGTCCATTCATTTTAATGTTGCTAAGGTTGAGAAACACTGCCCTATCCTAAACTTGGGCTGTGTTAGACCTAGAACATTGGTGGGGAACCTATGGCACGCGTACCAGAGGCAGCACTCGGAGCCCTCTCTGTTGGCACGCGCACCACCACCAGCAGCACCGCCGCCCGGAGCAGGAGCCCCGCCTAGCACAAAGGAGGCAAAGCAACCGACCAGCAAGTTCGAGTAGAGGTGGTAGAGCAGAGGTCACCAACCATTGTCAATTGGTGGAAGAAAAGGGAGGGAAAAGCATTTTACATGCGTGCATGTGCGCATGGGGCCGAGAGCACGCACACACTGCAAATGGGGTGGAGCTAGTGCCTGCGTGATACTAGCCCTGCCCCATTCTTGCGTGGTGCAGCGCCTTGTATTTGCACCCCGCGGCATAGCAGCGGCCGTTTTTGCGCCTTGCAGTATGGTGGCCCATTTTTGCGCCCCCTTTTTTTGCGTGCCAGAGGCGGCACTCAGAGGCGCCTCCCTGCCCCCCCCTGAGGGCACCACAATGCTGATGCGGCCCTGATGCTATAAAGGTTCACCATCACTGACCTAGAAACTGCATCACGTTTTTAGCAACAGTAAAAAAAAAAGTGAGAAAGAATCCATAATTAACATTCTTTCTCTGTGTGTGTGTGATTCCGTAATTTGATACTATTTAGTAATGAATATATTGAATACATTTATGTTTTCTAGATCCTAGAGCCCAAGATGTTTCGCTACGCTCATAAACTGGAGGTTCAGAGAACTGATGGAATATTGAGTCAGCCTTCACCCTTGCCACATTTGTATTCTGCGTCCTATTATCAGCTCTCAGAAGAATTAGCAAGAACATATCCAGAATTAACCCTTGCAATATTTTCAGGTATAGGTTTCCTTAAAAAGTATATTTCTTAATTTATTTATTTATTTATTTATTTATTTAATCCCATTTATACCCCGCCCTTCTCCCGAGGGACTCAGGGCGGCTTACAGGTAAATAAAAACAGTACAATACAATAGATATCTCTAAAAGCCAAATTAAAATATATATTAAATAACCTGTATTAAGTTTAATATTATAAAATCCCTTTAAAATCCCTATAAAATCCCC